CTAATGCAACAGAGCCTAATTTAATCTAAGTGATTGTTCGTATATCAGCATCGGCTTGAGCATTACTTGCTGATCTTTGCATTACCATCGATGCATCTCGTTTCATGCTTTGTTTTTGATTCGCTTAGATGAAACTGGTATTCCTTGTTTGTCCGGTTTTGACCAAGAGCCGCCCATGTTTTATTTATTTTAGTGCTCTTGTGGAACCAACGCTTATGGCTGATGAGGAAAGTCGCGTGTACTTAACTTAAGAATCTCTTGTCTGCGCTGACTCATCGTCAGCGAGTTGTTCTCGTTGGTCGGCTCATCTCGTGACCGATGCGGCATTTTCAAGAGAGCTAAAATTTCAACTTTGGACTCGCCGTATTTAGAAATCGTAGAAATTTCATGTTTCGAGTTATTACCAACTCAACTGATTGTTTTATAATTGAACACCAGATGGTATGCAATGTTGAGATGCAATACTGTTATAAATCTAAGTAATTGCGTATTAAATTGTTTTTAAATTCAAATTTTTCTAAGCTTTAAATTATACAACATATATCTCCATCGTTTACAAAAACTACTTCTGGAAGATTTTTACTAATTGCAAAATGAAATCTATCGCACTTTAGAAAAGGGCACCATAGGACTTCATGCACTTCTTGCCCTCGAATACAACTCGTGATTACTGTCATTGTGACAGTGGTTTTTAACAGTATGCTGTTTTTCCACGATCCAGTACTCGGATTCTCTGGCGCTTTGTGTTACGTATTTTGTATTTTCTAACAAAATAGGCGATGTCAGCTTTTTCGATGAATATTGATCTGGGCAGCTTGCTGTTCGTAATAACCTGTATCGGGTGTTATTCGGAGACGAATCTGCAATCTTATCACGTTGTATTGTCATACTGTATGAATTTGATAAGTCTGATGGCGACCTCTGAAATTTTTCGCAAACGGTTGTCCAAGCGCAGTCTTGTTTTTATGGAACTTTTCTCTTCTGACCTTTGAGAAATCGATGCCGCTTGATCACTGGGCAGCGATGGCGTTGGCGGCCATTTTTCTTCGGAGAGGGGAGTCACTGTCGCCTAGTCATGAAGCTGTTATTAAACGTAGTGACTTTTTTAAATAAGGATCGTTGTCAAGCTCGAACCCAACCACCTCGCTGCAATATATGGCACAAAATATATTTTATTCCTAGTTATCATGTTGCACTGCAGTAATGTCATCGGGTCACTTTACAAATGGCAAATAGCATTTACATATTATCGCATGTAAATAGTATTCTGCGAGGCTTGTAATATATGCAGGGTATACTAATTGCTTGTCTAGTATACAGTGAAACATATCCGGAGTAAAAATAGTAAAGATTATGAATATAGATTATAGAGTGAGCACTATTATTGTGTCAAAGCTGTT